ACCTTTGTGCAAACTTCGGGGCCGATACGATATCTTTGGCACCACTTAGAAGTTGGCGAGTCCAGCAGTTTAGGAGAAGATGCTTTCGGGAAATCCCCGGGTTCCCCAAAGAATGGGATGAAAATTTTTACCTTTATGCAAAGTTCGTTTGGTACCATTTAGAAGTCGGTGCGACCAGCGGATTAAGAGGAATTACGTGATACACCGACACTGAATCTTATTTTATTAATATTTGTGCATAGCGGATAGTAAAAATTAGATATGCATAATTTATATTGTACTTTATGCTAATTAATTTGCACTTTACAGAAATCTATTCCTACGTAGACTATCCTAGAGCTGCATGGTAATGATATCAAATTTATTCATAGGTGTATAAGGAAACAGTGTACAATTTAAGTATGTATGTAGATTTTCGGTAATTTATAAACCCTGTGTTAATAAGGGGGTTTCTTTTCATCGAATTTGTGGGAAATAAGCCTATTGAAAAGCGGAGCCCTATTGTTTTGAGTTCCTTAAGTGTTGCCCCCCCAGTGGCACACCGGTATGTCTGCGGACTTACAACGCTAGAAACCGGGTTTCGATACCCGTGGTGGGCGGAGCACATATAGCCCATTGTGTAGCTTTGTGCTCAACTTTAAACAAACAAACAAATCCTTAAGTGTCAGCCATCTAGGCAGTGTTGGATGGTAATACCCTCTCTAGTAGACTTAATGTATTTATAATATAACTTCAACTGATTGACAGAAGTTGTAGTTTGCTATTTACAATATTTTTAATACTGTAAAAAAACTTTCAAGATAATATGGAATTTCTGCATTATTTTTTACACCCGCACTTCATGCTCTAGATGTAATTGGATAATATACTGAAACAATGTATGTTTAGTCAAGTAAAAAGGAAAACTTTTGGTCTATTTATAGTTTATTAGTAGCTGTAAAGCTATTCCGCAGGTTTCTCTACGTGTCTTCCTTCCGGTCACTTTAAAACCATGCAAAGAGATTTTCGCTATCAACTAATATTTGCGACCAATGTTTAGTTTACACCGAGCAAAATAGTGCTTTAAATTGTTGGGGTTTGCATATTCAATCACTGTGGACTTTTAGTTTGGTTCTAAAGATAATTTAGTGCCTCTTAATTGGTCAATTATTTTAAAATATTGCACCCCTATTTCATCAATAATTTGACTTTCATTTTTTTCAGAATTTATACTTATTGTCTCTTTCTCATTTCATTGTTGGTTTTTTAATAGGTTATTCGCTGTGTTTTAAATATTGTTACCGTCGTGTCAAAATGTAGAGGAATTGGAACTTCCTATACTTGACGCTTCAGCAAATTGATAGAGTATTACTCTCATTCTTGTTATACACGTTCGTGCAATATCAATGAATGAAAAACGCTATAACCCGAACGCTTTCGAAAGGTGGACCTTTCTTCTTCAGTTGATTCCCAGTTTGTCCCTGAAGAAGAAAGGTCAACCTTTCGAAAGCGCTCGGGTCATGGGGTTTTTATTCATTTCTATCAAGACTTCTTGAACCTACGTGTTTTTCTAACATCATGAACAGTTAATGAAATTAAATTAGAACAGTTAATTGATGAATTGCTCATTCATTGATTTATATCATAATTTGTCTGGTGCATTTTTCTCCGTGACTATTTAAAGCTGTACCTTTTTGTTTTAATTAATTATTTCTTCATTTTGTACCTGATAATCAAGCGAACATAATTGAGCAGATGACTGTATTAGTAATATTAAAAATGTGTACTACACTAAACAGCAGAGGGAGCTACAATACAAGTAAGATATTTTCATTATTGTTTGTTAGAGAGATTGATAAAATCTCGTAGTTTAGTTTCTTTGTTATACGCTGAAACACGATACACATAATTTCATTAGCTGTTTTACACCATTTTTAAAGATGTTTTTAGCGGCTTGAACTAAATATATCCGACCCATTATTGGATGTGAAGTTCGAAATTTCATTTGTGGTGTTTGTATTTATTTATTTTTTACTTTCAAGTGTAACAACCTTGATCATTGTTTAAAGCAATTTAATTATCGACATTGTTTTTATTTTAAGTTAAGCACAAGGCTACTTAATGGACTATCTGTGCTCTGTCCAACACGGGTATCGAAACCCGGTTTCTAGCGTTGTAAATCCGCAGACATACCGCTTTGCCACCGGGGGGGGGGGGTATCAACATTGATGCAAAGCAGCTTTTGTTTCGTAGCGTAAAGAGGGAAAAATGATGTAAAATTGTTAAATAATCTTTACTCTAAAATAGTTTATAAACATTAAAAAATCTTATCTGTAATGATTAATCATACTTATTAGCCTAACAAGTGGAAATTGTCTAGTAAGCTTGGCCAAAGATAAAGCTATATACCGTATTTTTCGGTGTATAAGACGCACTTTTTTTACACCAAAATTTGATGTCAAAATCAGCTTGCGT